TAAAGCTTCGATCAATTTAATTAAACTGCATGCCAGGCTGTAATTAATTATCATGATGTATCTTTATTATTTTGTTATAATTATTTGTTATAATAATGCTTTGCGTTATTTGCTGAAATCCAATATCTTGACCACACACATTTGCGTTCCAATTTTAATTATATTGATTAATACGACATAAACGTATCTTTTTAAAATAATGTGCATAAGCGCTTGAAAAAGAAATTATTGACCCCAAGATACATTCTGTGATACATGATCTTATAATTCTCATAAAATAAGTTTTAATTACGAAAACATAATACACACACACACACACACACACATATTAAAAATTTAATCACACATTAGTGTAATTAAACTCATATTTCTTCCATCGTATCGCAAAATTTGTTATAAAAAAAAAAGAAAGTTAAATACTGTTTTATTATCACTATTAATTTATCAATTTTTCTCATCCTAAATTTTTAATTTACTTGTACTTATATATAAATATATTTAACATAAAATATAAAAAATGATCTTACGATATAATTATCGCAGACTAAAATTACAAAATTAAATTTTATTTATATTGAAATCTAAATTTACGTTTATTGCATTGAAAATGAGTATAAAATGATGCAATTATAATCGCGGACCAAGATATTCTCCTTTAGTAATCATGATGTCGTTGTATTCAAAACTGAAAGGATTGAAGCGTACACGTGTCGCAATTAAATTCCGGCGGACGATTATTGTTCGGACAGCCGCAAACCGTTGACACGGGGCACAGGTTAGACAGAATTGATTGACGCGTAGAGTGGTCTAGATTAATTTCGTAGCACGAAAATATTCCAAATTTTAAAGTCCTTTATTGGGATATTTATATTACACTTCAAAGCTGTGTAAATAAATTGGCGAATTTAATCCAAAATGTAATAAAAGAACCTTTATTTACGCTTTCGAGCGTTAATATGTGGTTTTCAGTCAGTGCCATTTATTCCTGATTTTGCTGAAATATCGGGTTACATAACAAATAAATCTTTAAAAATTATTTCACTATTAAATTTGATAATAATTGTTTGCGTAATAAATAAACTATTATGGAATTCGAAACATTATGGTTTGATAAGAAATCGCAAATATTTCCAAGTGTTAAAATTATTATTTACATCTTATCATTAGTTGTTAAAAAAAACTATGCTGTGAAAACAATTTGCACGATTTTTACATTTACTACAGTTTTTTAATTACCATTAAAAGAAACATTAAAAGCCGTAACGAGAGAACGTTCCAATCTACAAACAAGTGGTTCAATTCGAGTTTGGAAATTTCATAGATTGGAAGTATCGATACGACTCTCGTTCATTAAAGAAAGTTGAATTACATCGGTGGATTAAACCTTGTGGGGAAACCTCAAAGAGAACACTTGGGGTTTATCACTTTTATAAAGTTCCATATGATGTCACGTATTTCATTATAAAGAGAGCAGTTATTTTTAGGAGAATTTCTCAAACATCGAAATCCCATTATTTAGCCCCTCGAAAGAAACGCCGAGTAATTTCGAATGTCCAACTGAAGTTTGTAAAAAAGGTAAACCCTCGAGAATATTTCGCCTGAGTATCTCAAGGAATCAAGAAAAAAAAAACAGGAGAAAAGTTTTCAGCACTTCTGCAATATTTATCAAGGACAGAAAAGAAAAACAAGGCATCGCAAATTATTGAAGAATTCGCACTGCAATGTATTCCATATGCCGACACTCCACATGAGTAAACACTTTGATTTGCGCATTATTATTATATCCGATTAAATTTTTATAGATAGAATAAACAATAAGTAACATTAATACAAAGTTTGTGATAACATTTTTCGTGCTGGAAAGCACATTATTATTGCGCAATGCTGAAAATATATATCTTCTGTAAATACCTCGCGATATGTCATTAAAAATATATGCCGCATTTTAACACAAGTACGACACAAAGCAGCACTTAGGCTGGACGAAATAAATTGTACGATAGAACGAGCTATCGATCTCTGTTACGTCACATTACTCATCGAACAATCAAACGACTTTGATGCAAGAGCGATACAAGGAAGCCTATTTTGTTAAATTTTTCATGAAGCATCAAAAATTAATAGGTTTAAGCTATAGAATAGCTTGGTTAGAATAAAAGAGAGAAAAATGTGTGACACACATCGCGCATTGGATGTAATAGCGGAAGAAATGAGCTGAAATTACGTTGGAATTGAACAGAAAAGCTATTGTGAAGTGATATGGACGGTCCTTCGGTATCTGTCGAATTTTCGTTATTACAGTACCATTTTATTGATCACTCTCAGTTCTCCTATTTTTCTTGTGATTAATTCTTTCAATAAATTTATTCTTAATTTATTAAATTTATCAATTTAATTTCTACATCTAGTTACTATATTCTTTCCGATCAGTATCAACGTACAATTATAATAATACCTATTTCATAATAACATCTAGTTAAAATATGTTAAAATAATTAATTATGTTTTTAGAAAACTTCTTTTTTTTTAATATATGCTCTTAAATATTTTTCCTGATTTTATCTTATCAGAGAGAGGAAAAGAATTTCTGTATTGTCTGAATTCTATTTTGTTATAACTTTTATCGCAACTCAAGTAAAATTTATGAGAACCGTGTAGAGATGCGAAGAAAGGGTTATTCTCAAGAATTTATCGTTCAGAATATTCTTTAATAACAAGATATTATATATCTCAAGAAGAATGCTTCCACGTTACAGAGTAATCCAAATTCCTCGCATTTCTTTATATCTACGGACGCATTAGCCAAATTGAAATCAATTTTTGTGGCGCTATCTTTAACATATTTGTTGTAATATATTTTTCTTAAGCATAAAGAGATGGTAAATTTTCTCTTATGCTAATATTTTTCAGACTAATAGAACACATTATTATATTCAGGTTTTGTAAAAAAATTATTGCAAAATACAAACAACATTGCGTGAGATCTTTAAGCTTCAACTGAAATGCGTGGAGAAAAGTTCAACGTGTAATTTAGATAAAACAGAAAAACATATTCTTTAGCTTTAATTAATTAGTGCACGAGAGAGCTAAACGTTTGCGAACGCTTTGTAAATGTATTATGCTACGTAAATGCATATTGCATTGTTACAAATAATGTATTAACGATTCCTCGTGCAACTCATGCGCAACGAATTATGCAAATAACAATTCCTAGTAAAGTCCAATTTAATTATATCGGGTGCCACGAGAAGGCACTAGAATTATACATTTTTTATACAATTCGTATAACTATTCCCGTGGGGACGTCCGCGATTTATATTCTGGACAAATTTAGCTGTGAAATTTATTTATCGTCACGGAGCATCGAAATGACATTCATTGTACCGTCATATCGGTGGTTAATCTATTGTTATCGATCGGCGGCACACATTAATTAGTAACGAGACACGCGAAGGCGTAATGTGTAACGTTCTGCCCTCCCACAATGCAAATGCATTTCATCGCTCCCTCGTAGACCGGGCATGTTAAATACATTTTATTACTTATATCGACGGCGAAAGTCATTATAAAGCGCTAATTAATTGGTTTATGTTATGCGATATCTCGTATCAATTACGCATTAAAAAGGATCATAAAATAATATGCGACGATAATCACGTCGTTAATATTCATTTCTACAATTGCAGGATTTCTTGCACTGGCAATCAATATAAAACGACGGAATAAAAAAAACTTTATAAATTATTATATGAATTTTTAAAAATAAGAATAATACTGTTCCACAATAGAATTAGAAGTTTTGAATAATTTAAGCTTTCTACAAAAATATGACAAGTTTTGCTAAATTGGATTAACCGCCTTGAATAATTTAGAATTGTATTATTGTTCAAATTTTCAATTTGTGTAATACGATCTCAACACTCTTCAGCTTTTTTGAATATATTCCTCCCCGCCCTTTCTCAAATAAATTATACATGCATTGAAAATATTAAAATTTCGAAGCGTACAAGTTTTCAGCGATTAAAAACGCCAATATTCGCAATATCAACGTTGCATATCTGCCTTTAGTCATTAATCGCAGACAAACAAACGATTATCCGTGTATACGTATATCATGAGTTCGTCAATCACAGTGCGCACCATTCCGCTAGTTTATATGTAAAGACGAGATAAATATTAAAAACATATAACAATAATTATTATTCGTGCATTAAACATCCTCTTGTTTAAAACATTAATAAACGCATCCTAGCATTTATTCAGAAGTATACCATTTAATTTATACAATATAATATAATACATAAAATTTCAAAATTTAATATTTATTATAAATAATTGTGGCATCTCTGTTTGAAACTGTATCGTCAAGCAAATAAAGACGCAGATAAATATTGTTGTTTAAACTGCTGTTTCCAATTTGGCAAATATAACAATTCAAATTTAACGTTTTATATATTGTCGTAGTCAAATAAAACTTTTCAAAAATAAATATCGCGTCAGAGATTTATTAATCGATTTATGTACAACGAAACCTTGAACTTAACATTTTCAATCGTAAAAGAGAGAAATAAATTCCGTGACATTAAATCTGTTTTTCTCTGCAAAATACAAAGTAAAAATATTTCCATTGTGCTAAATAACGCTAAATTTCGATTTAACAAGTGTTGAAGATGGCTAAAAGATTAGCGGAAAAATTTACTAAGCATTAAATTAAAAAAAATAAAGATTATAAGCAAATGACAACCAGCTTGGCTTTGAATCCTCATTTTGCATCACATTTTTTATTTTATTTGTACAAAGCGGACGGGCTAGCTAGGCAGACGTAAAGAAGGAAGAGAGAAGATGAGTGAAAGAGAAAGATTGATCGACAACGTACAATTATGATCGTAGCGTTGTCAAATCATTGAAATTAATTACAATATAATTATACACAATTAGAACGAATATTAATTATAACAATAAATATAATAAATAAATTTGTTCATTATTACCTTCTGCTCGACTTCATCATTGATCCGAACACTCATTCGTATTAGATATGATAAGGTCGATTAGAAAACCCGATTAATTAGAATCGCGCGCATTAATTAATGCAATATGATATATGTAATTAAATATCAGTCCACATGACATCTGCATGACACTTCCGATATTTGTAAGCGGATACGTTGAACAAATAAATAATACGGTACACGACGATTGCACACTATTGACTTTCTTTATGCACACCGTGTTTAATACTGTGATATTCGAAGCATTCGTATCACGCAAGAGCTACTCTTGGCGCCGATACGCAGTGTCGTCACATCTGCAACGCGAGATACATCGACTGTGAACCGAAGCTATGTCATTCATTAATGACTAATTAATTTTATATTGATACGAATCTGCAAAATAAATTCATTGTTTTATATAGTACTCCGATCTGCGAGAAAATATTTCTTGCGTTTATAACACATTTCAGGTAAAGAAGAATATATTTTTAACATATTATTATAATCTCTGTCTTATCTATGATACTAATAATGCAAGTTTTATAAATTTATACAGTAAAAGCTAATTCAAATGCATATATATTTGTTAAATAACGTTCACAAACTAAGCGCCCAAGAGGCGCTTAACGAAATATCCCGGGAAAGCGTAAACACCGCACGCTACTAGCAACACGAATAGTGTGCATGTAAAGCAGCATATTATTCGCCATTTGTAATAGCGACAAAGAACAAAGCAGCATGCTCTCCATGGATTGCGAAACCAAGAGAAGGAGGTATCGGGTCGCCTGGAAAACATAAGCATAATAATTAGTAATTGGAAATATTAAATAACAAGAGAGCGTTACTTTTGCCAAAACAATATTTAAATAATCATATTTTAAGATTTGCAAAGATAATACCAACTTCTCACTTCAAATCGCTTCTAAATATTGCAATTATATTTCAGTTTTGTTTAAAATACCTCATTAAAGTCTTTAAATTTTCTTTGATAAATTGCATCACTTAAAATAATGCGACTTTTTCTTACCAAAGAGTAATATTGCCTTTACATTGGCAAATTAGGATAGGAAATAAATCAAAGAGGATGAAAAGAGATAAACCTTGGAGACGGAAGATTTAGGGGCGGATCTCGTCCTTTGCCTGCCGGTTGATTGTCTGCATCTACTGCTCGCAATACAGATATTTCCAGTTCACCTTTGCCCTAAAAAAGGTACATAAAATAAAATGCAATTAATTATATCAAATAATTAACCACCAAATTAAACAATTGCAACAGTCTTGTTTTAGTTTTATTTTTGCAGATTTTTTCAAATATTCCTCTACACTTCACAGCACATCAAGAAAGTTTTACTAAGCTTCCTCCCTTTTGGTATTTTACCGCTTGAATGTACTTTCCAGTGGCAATGCTGCGCGCGAATGGCCACCAAGCTCTAGTTCGCGTAACTTTGAATAAATTCATCGTGGGTAACTGCGGTTCGAGTAATTTTAGCGTGCAGTTTTTGGAGTTCGAACTGCCCCGCGGCATTCTCGATAAGTCCAATGTTAACTCTCCTGCAACACGTTCATTAATCTGTAAGAGGACGCGCAAGGTTTATGTAATATATCATAAACGGCGTTAATTATAATCATAAATTTTATGTAGCACGCGCATAATTTTTCAAATATACATTTCTAAATACTATTCCTAAAGCTTGTAACTTCTTGACAATCGCAACGTGAATTGGAACTTTAAAAACTGACGCAAATTTTTTGAATTTACCTGTTTACGTAATATTCAAGCTACATTAAAAATAAATATTAGCCATTATGTATAAAAAATACAATTGCATATGTCATATAGAGTTTCGCGTACAAAATACCGTGTTATCTAATGTAATAATCGATCGACAAACGCTCTCATAATAAACTAAATTGATGATTTTTACCTTTTTATTACTTATATATAATTGTACAGTTTTTGTTATTATTTTTATTACCTAAAAAGTCATCTGATGAGAAATGATCACTGTCCCACACTTGTAAACGAAGCTTGCACGGCAACTTTTCTTCCGTCTCATGCCTGGCAAAAATTGACATCCTTCTGCGCGCTATCATGACATTCTCGCCCTTCGAATACATAATTCGAAACACGAATCTCCAATTGAAGTTGCCCTCGCCGTTTAGAGAATTATAGTGAATGTCAGTCTTTTGAAAGTCCTCGTACAGAATCCATCTATGCAATATTTCAGGCTGGCTTTTTAGACTCAGCAATAATAAATCGATCGACTCACTCTACTGCAAAGTCGGATATTTTGTTGCGATGCAATTAAAGCCCATTGCTTTTAAAATATAATTACATCAAATTTTATTTCGGTTAATTGAGACTGATAATTAATTACTGCTATATTGGATTTTTGTCTAAAAAAGCGAGAAACAAGTGAGCAATTTATTTCTGTGAAAAAAATTAAAGCGTTAAAATGACGTGACCATTAAATATATTGATTTCGTCACGTATATTGATGTTTCAGCAATTTGGGTAAATTTAGATTGTCGTTTTCATTATGCGCCGCGTTTTAAAGGTCTTCGTATAACTTCGAGAAAATATTTTTCTCCGTCGTTTTTTTTTTTGCGATGGCATACCCTTTGACGTAAATGTCGGAGCACTTCTCTCCGGTGAGAAATTGGCTCTCGACCAGCGGTACGTCCTCGGTATTCCAAACGATCACGCGAATTTCATATTCCTCCGGTGTTGGTGGGGCGATGTTGACCGCCGGTTTCGGCGGTAATTGTCCGATTTGAAACATATCGATCCACATCTCCAGTTTGCCCTGATCGGAATTGGAATTGCAGCTATAATACCATTGGCTTTTGTACTTAGAGAGAGAGAGAGAGAGAGAGAGAGAGAAGAAGAAGAGAGAGAAGAGAGAGAGAGAGAGAGAGAGAGAGAGAGAGAGAGAGAGAGAGAGAGAGAGAGAGAGAGAGAGAGAGAGAGAAAGAGAGAGAGAGAGGGAAAAGCAATTTTGCATAAACAGACTCCTCATATTTTAAACGATACTTTTCTTCAAAAAAATTTATACATTATAATTTATATTAAAAAAAATTACTTAACAGATAAAATATTTGCATACGTAAATTTCTTCTTAAAAGTTAAATTTTTTGTTTATAAACTAATGTCAAAAGCATATTATTATTCTATTCTATTTTTAATTTGCACAATTCTGATTTGTCTTCTTCTTTTTATTTATGTAATTAAGAAGAAAAAAAAACTAATCTGGTAAAGTGTGTATGTAATTAAGACATATAAAGGCGGCTTTTTCTTCGCAAGACAACAACATGTCTGTATGACGATCACGTTTTCCACGGAGCGGAGTTACTTTTCACGGTAAGACGGTGTATTTCGTATTACCTGCTCGAGACCGGGCCGCTTAGCGTTGAAAAGCGGCCGTCTCTCGACGTGCTCCGGCACCAAAGTGCATCCACAGATAGGGAAGTCTTGCCAACGATGAAGCACGTTCAAGGCCATGTATTCTTCTCTGTCTGTCAGCACGCATCGATCATTTAGCATAAATTCGCTGAAGGATTACTTCGCTTTAAACGTGGACGCGCGCGCGTGAAATGTAACTTTATATAAAGATTATCCATTACAATATGATTCAATGTGAAAAGGCCAATCTATCTTAAGGGAGCCTTCCTGTAGGACTTTTCTTTAATTAAAACTTCTTTTATTATCTTTGAAAAATTCTTTTAAGGAGAACAGCGATGTGTGTTAAATATCATTTAAATAACATTTAAAAAAGTGAGAATTTTTGTTGAGATAATAATTTTCCATTATGTGATTGCCATTTGAATTTTCTATCTAAATTGTGAACTATAATCGAGCAGAGTACAACGTGCATCATTTCAATCCATCTATGTCGCACATCTCTCTTCATCCGTTGATGTCACACAGATGCAAATTTTCACAGCTGATTGCTCGATTTGTTTGAATTATCAGTATTTTATGAGACAGAAAGGAATTTGATCTGCTCTCCAAAAATTTGAGAATAATAGTAAAATTTTTATGATGACATCAGTTAAAAACAAAAATTTTTGATGTTAATTAATATTAATGTATTGAAAGTTGCGTTTAGAAGTGTATATTTTATACATAAAAAATTTTGAATATTTATTGGTGCAAATTTACATCTGCATTATCTAAACAAATTAATATATTATTATTTATACATTATTACATAATCATTTAGCGATTGCATCGTATAATTCACAATCAGCAAAGTATTACGTACCGATTTCGCCTTCGCGTTCGATCACAGCGTGAAAGGGAAATGTGTGCTTGCCAATCTTAATTTCGCGTTCGCTGTATTCCGGTGACGGCAGATTGTTTCTTCTGCAGAGGTGCTCCAGGATCCGCGTTGGCCTCTCGCGATCGCGCCAGACGTTATATCCGGCGGTGCGGTAGACGTTCGCAATCCCGCAGTGCGCCCGGTGCCGGCTGTAGAATCGATTCTCGATGTCGATTCGCGTCTCGCCGATCAGATCGTCCGCCGTTGTTGCGTCAAAATCCCACACTTGAATCGTCAGCATGTAATCCTGCGGGAAACTCGCCTCGATCTCGAACAAACTGCCGGATAATAAAATAACCGCTTGAAGATAATAGCAATAATAAAAATATCTTGCAGCATTCTTTATATTGTTTTATAAAAAGATGCACGCTTCAGCTGAAGATCGAATCTAATTCCGTTTTTATTTCACCATCAGAGACTATCAGTTTATTAACAACTCTATTTTTCAAAAAGAAAAGAGAATCAATCTGTCAACAAAAATAACATTACTCATACTGTAATCGCTGCAACGTTGCGCGGAGCAACGAAAAAAAACCCGATTGTGCAGCAGCCTAGTAGCTGTGAAAAATCGACACGCACGGATGCACAGATGGATATCGATAAAACACTGCCCGATAACGGCCGAAGGGCGAAGGACTGTGCCGCGACGTGCCTCAAAAAAGACGCTACGATGGCTTTTTGCGAAACCTTACCGGCCAAACGTGGGGTTCAATTGATTGGCTATATAATTCTTCCTGTCACTGATAGAATTTTTTCCCAGCCGCACGTAAAGATACGGGTCGGACTTGCCGCTGAGGGGATCCTTCGGTTGTAAGTTGATGCCTGTGCGAAAAGCAAATTTACTATCCGGGTTTCCGCCGACTCGCCGTAAGATTATGAAGTGCGTCGGGAAATCCCACGAGTAAAAAACAGGGAGGATCTTTAAATCGTCCTTCAGCTCTTCTTGATAAGAAAAAAAAAAAAATACATAAAAGATGTCTTCTATAAAATCACATGCGTTTGTTTTCTGGCGTTTTCAATTCTTTGATAAATCCGAGGTTTACTTTCACTTGGTAAAAAATGTCCGCTTTAAAGCCATTTGCCACGGTTTTGGGAAATAAATGTTTCGGCAGTTTTTAGCTCCACGCGCGCATTTTTCTTTCTCGAAAAATGTAAAAGTTATTAAAAACGGACAGGACATGAAACAGTGTTATTAAAAATTGAACCTTTCCATTCCGATGCGCGTAATATAACCGGAAATTAACCTTTTACGATATATACTCTAACGAGGAATTTAACAGGCTCTTGAGGCGGATAATCGCTGCACAGACCATTAGCCGCGTCTCTCCCGCTTCTCGTTTTGCATGAAAGATTATCAGGATGCGGCCATCGATATATGGAAATGTGTCCCTGAAAGAAATAAAAAATGTTGCATTTGACATAGTAATTAATTAATTGAATGAGAGAAAGCTTCAATAAATCGACAGGATTTAAACGTTACATTTTCATTGTCTACATTTAATACTTTTAAATCAAATGATTTTTAATAATTCGTCATTTCACAATATACAAAAAAAAATTATAACAATTGTAAAAATTGTAGAAAATATACTGGCTTATAAATATCTCAATTTAATTACATTCATTTCAATTTTCGTATAATTTTGTTTACGGCAAAAATTTATTACATAAAATTTGATTAAAAGAAAAATAATTTTATCGTCTTATATAAATTAATTTTCTGCAAAACCTTAAATTTGCCAGCATAATTATCTCCGGCCTGGTCGAGACGCATGCCCTTCTTGCCACGCCACAACTCGAAAGTATCCAGTCGATCTCGAAAGCCCTCAAACTGCGGCTGCATCTCTAATTCCGTAGGATAGATCTAATTTCAGTCTGAGCGTTGAAGTTTGAGCAAATGCATTAAAGCGTACTTTGAACGTCGCTACGGGCTTGCGCTGTAACGCTGCTGCGATTCCCAGTTCTCTATATCTCTCCTCCTGCAAATTCAACATGACGCGATAATTTGCATTATCAGGCGTCTCGGATGATTGGCTGCAGTCAAGATTCGTGTTCTACATAATTATCGTCAGCACCGGCTCATTTATCAGCAATGCGATTTGCGTATGCTACGGGAAATGAAGCTGACGTTCTAAGGAAGTCAAAGATTCAAGATTACAGATCGAGGAACTCGAACAGGAAGTCGTGAGTTCTAGAATCGACGATTTCAGATTCAATTTATAAAATTTAAAAAATTTTGAGAAAACAGAATTACGCGTATATCGCTGTACTCATAAAAATTCAAGTTATATTGATAAAGCTAAATCTAATTGTAAGCACGTGAACATCTAAGTAGCTAAACATTTAAGTGTCTAAGTTGGTAAACTGCTGCACATTAATCTGCTGAACGTTTAAGCAGCTGAGCAACTAAGCAATTAAATTTCTGAGTCTCTAAGCAACTGAGCACCTAAGCAGCTAACATGTAAGCGATTAAATTGCTAAATTGCTAAGCAGTTGAACAGCTAAATATCCAAGCTTAGTTAAGCTATAGTTATCGAGCGTCTTAGCAAATAACAATAGCATTTAATTATTTAATATATAAGCAATTGCGTTGACGATCTAATATTAAAAATTCCTAAAAAAATAACAATAAAAAGCGAAAAATTTAAAAATCTCTAATAGGAAAATACATGGAAATGTTCCCTTCGAATTTAATAAATTTTTTATATATTGTAAAACAATAAAAATTCAAAGACACATATATTTCACTAAAATTTTTTCGCTCGTTTACAGATTAAAACAAATCCGTGAAACTATTTCAGTATATCTGATTTAAACAAATAGCGTTAAAATCGTGAAATAAAAAAGTATTTTAGATAAAAATTTTGTGATATTGACTTTTCTTAATATTCAGAAACCTATTTCTAATATTTTTTCATTTTTTGCTGTTGTTTGAATGAAATTAAAAAATTTTAATTAACTTTGAGAGATTTTAATTAACTTTGTTTTAATCCTTAAACGTGTGACATAAAAAAAAGAACACTTGTATACGTTTTCCTATTAATACAGAATTTAAAGATTTATTAGTTTTATTTGTCTGCATTAACAAATTTTGAAAGAGGAACGATAAATGATTGAACGGTAACTTCTTTCTTTTTGAACTTAGTTCTAATTACACTCGACGTACCTGAAGAGAAGCAAAATATTTACTCCACCAATCTAGAGTTTCGTCATCGTCGTCTTCGTAGATTTCCATCTTCTTTTTCTTGGCAAGAAACGCAAATTTTAATATCCTCTTTATGATTTCAAACAGTCTCTTCAGTCTAGAGTGGACGTCTGTTCCTGCCATTCTCTTATACGCAATAAGACCTTTGCTCTCCTCTTTCGAGGGACTATAATCGATCGGCAAGGGCACTATTTTCACAAGTAAAATAAAAGCAATTTTGTATTCTCTTTCTTCAATTTTCGAACTGAATAAAAATTTAATATGTAAATGATTCACTAACACACTGTCGCCGGCTGCCACTTTTCCAACTGGAATTTCAGCACAAATTTTGATCCATATATTTGCGCATCGTAATCCTTCTCGGTTATTAATTGCTGCAGGAACACGTGGATGCTGGGGATAATGCAGATCCCGGCATACTTGAAGCAGCCGAATCCGCGGGAATCGTAAGCCTTTATGGTGATGCTCGGATAGTAAATGTCGAGCTCTGGCATTTCCTTGATGATTAATGCATTTTAGAGCTGCCATGCGTTTTCTCGCCGTTAGTAATATTACACGAGTTTATTTTACCTAATCGCCAAGATAATCAACGTTGAAAGCTACGGTAAAGCTACGGTGAAAAAGGTAAAACCCAACAATCGCGACCTTAATTGAATTTTTGCTGAAAAAAATTATAACTTACCAGATCTTTTAAGAAATTTATTAAAAATTTACCTCCCTTTGATAACTTTCTTTTTTAATTTCACACGCGCTACGCTAATTAAACGAAGTTTGCTTATTAAGAATCTTTGTAATTACCATCTCGATCATAATATGCCGTTCTTCAAAGTTGCTGAATTTCTTGGCGTTCTTCATCACCTCCGACTTCACGTGCACTCCGGCGCACTCCACTATAATTCTCGGTTTGCGTACCGGCATATAGTTTATCTTCCTCATGTCGCGAACACCCCAAAAGATCACCTCCAGTCTGTAGTTCGCCATTCTCGGCCTGATATCAGGCGGAATGCTGTAAATCTTATCCTCCGCTGACATGCTCATCGGAACGTCCAAAATCTCTTTATCCTCAGTCTGTTTTGGTATATGCAGGGAGATATTACTAACACTGTTAGGCTGCTATTTGCGAACAAATACATAGAACTGGAAAACTCAAACAGATTTAGTTACACAAAAATCTATTATTTCAATTGATACAAAAATTATATAAAGCAATTTAATGAAAAGATTTCTTATTTCTTTCCGAAATTACATCTCATTGTAAAAATATTATTTCGTAGGTCAAAACAAAAAGATTTTACATAGATTATTTGAAAAATTATTTCAAAATTTAAATCTTTTATAAAAACATTGTGTAACTTTTGTATTGAGTGTTAATAAAAATGAAATATTTTCTACGCCGTTTTAAAACTGTGTGATTTTTTAAATCTATGCGTTTGTTTTAAACTAACTAGTTTCCATGACATTCTAATTAGTATTCTATGTAATATGTATATTTTATCAAGCATAGCGTTAAATTTTATGACCACATTCTTTTAAAATCGAGAAATAAGAATGGACCATTAAATTGAATGTATCGTATGAAAAGAATGAGAAATAATAGAATGTGCCGGAACACTATCTATAGCAATTCTCCCGAGAAGAAAATCAATATCTCACCTCTATCAGTTCAAAAGCGGCGAGGACCGAGCCGGTGCAATCTCTTTGCGACTGGAACTTGTACCATTTTAATTTCGGCGGAAAATCGGGCGGCGAGTAAGTTTCTGTTGCGAGTTTCACTAATGGCACTGCGATACACCTGCCGCAAAATTCTTTCGTGCCCTGCATTATTTTCAGCGCGAAAGACATGTAGCATGTAAATGTGGTTATAATAATTCAGAATCTCTTTGTGCTCAAAATTTAGGAATAATCTTATCTATATACATTAATAGAATTATGTGTACTTAGTTAATTTTAACGTTTATTTTATATTTACGTTTCGTTAATACATTTTAATTTAATTTTAATATATAAGACCGTTTGATAGATTTTTTAAGATGCAAGGTTTCTCTTTTTAAAAATATAGCCGTAAGAAATTCAACGGATTTACTGCTTCACTTACATATAAATCTTGATCGAAAGCCTGTAAAGCGACTTCGGGCGGTGAAGATTTAATATACTCCTTAGTGCCGTGCAAGACAACCGAAGGAAAAACCAGTGTCTGATCCCAAAATGGATCTAAACTTTGTCTTATCACCTGCAAACATATAGAATTAGACGTGTTATTTATTTTAAAATTTAATGGCTTAAATTTTGGTTATTTATATATATTTTACTTTCTAATGAATATATTTATATATATTATACTTTCTAATGTTTAAAATTACTTTTATCTATTTTATATTATTATTAATTTATTTTGTTGAAACGTTTGTATGTTTTTATAATAGAATACAGTTGTTGCGCATTAATATCTAGCGTTTGGCTCTTTAAGCTCTTATAATTTTATTTTGTGTGTAATATTTTCATTACATTGTAATGTATTTTAAATTTTAATATATTTTAACATTTTAATTATAAATATTTTAATATTATGTTGCAAGTGCAACATTAACCATATTGAATCAACGTTATTTTCACGTATTATTGTTTTAATTGAGATACAGATCATAAAAATATTATAAATTTTGCAGTATATTCCGCAGAAATCTTACGATATCGTGTTCATAATTGTTAGTATTGCATACATGCACACATAGTGATCATAACATGAAGTAAAATTAGGCAGTAAAAAGGAGAAATCATATTTTGAAAATTATATTGTAGCATTTTATGAATTCAACAACCGCGAGGGTAAAATTTGCATAGCTTACGTCATCATCTTAAAAATAACTCACTTGCGTGGAAGCCGTGTATCCCTGAAACGCAACACGTACGAAAGAATTCAACAAGCCGGAAGTGTCCATTCCCGGATCGAAGCGACCTTGAAATACATGAGCTCGCAATTGGAACGTCTGCAATGACATCGAAATTCATCGTCGTGTTTTTTTTTTATCGCATACGTTAAGATTTGTAGCCTCGCATCGTCCATCGAACAATCAAATTCTTATCTATATTTGTATCATATTTGGTAAGTTATGCGTGCGTTCAACGTCTTGCCGAGCTCGTTTTCGTCGTTATCTCACCGAGGACTGATTGTATTCAATATACTTCGGGAAGGTATCGACGGCCCCGCTGTGATCGATTTCGTAACCAGGCGGAATTGCGCTCCAACATGCAGAGGCGTATCTCGCGCTGCCGAGCCACAAGAATACTTCGATCTTGCAGGCGGTGTACTCGACAGCTTCGTTTTCCGGATTTCCGGGGAAGAGATTGACTCGCCGGCCGCACTTCTCGCCCATCTCGGCGGCTTCCTCAGAATAGATTATCTCTTCGGCGGATAATCGCGAATAAGCGACGCGTTTCGCGCCAGCAATCATCCAGATAAAGGCGTCGGGAAGACTGTGCTGAGGCTAATTGAACGAAAATAATCGGTGAAGTATTGCTTGGAATTAAAACTGTAGCGAAAATTCAAGACGATTTTAAATCACTCATGAAATTGTACAATAATTTTAATGTTTCCCGCATTTCAAGAATGTAAATTATATTAATTTTTTCGCATGTTGTCAGTAAATTCATTTGTGCGTACTATTGTTATAACTTACATCTTCGCACAGACTTCTCAATTTTTCCAAATATTGATACGCGTGAATCATCGCGATTCTCATGTAATTGTTATTGGGAAGTTCGCCGTTGATTTTAATCCTCTTGAGAATATCCTCGATGCTTTTACGACACAAGTTTACACGGTGGTGGTCTAGTTTGGTGGTTCCACCTTCGTCTTCGTATCTGCCAGTATCCAGCACGTGCAGATAGCGCGTGCAGTGAACCTTCAACGCGCGAATCGTCTCGTTATAAGAGTCAAAGGTTATCGGACTCTCCACGGCCATGAGTACCTTTAGTTTCTCCAGTTTTGCCTCCTGGGATCAAATTAAAACGATTTCTGTATTACCTAATTCACGAAAATAGCACCTTTGGGACACGTCGAGGAATTCTGTGATATTTTAAAATACGAGCGCGACACATATTCAAATATTCAAATTATATTATATGAAATATTAAACGCTACTATGCTAATTTAATAAATTATGATTTATTCAATTTTATATTAATTATATATTTATATTTTATTTATTATAATTTTATATTTATTTGTCTAATTCTAAAATAATTTATATTTTTTACCGGCAAGATAATATTAAAAATTTACGCGTTTTGGCAGCTATTATTTTAGCTGCCAAACAAAACAAGTTAAATTGAATAAAAATTGAATAAATTATAATTCAATTTTAAAATTATGTTGTCATTTTAAAAAATCAATAATTTATGTAGTGAATAAAAACAAACCAAAAAATCCGCGATATAGCGGAGATTATTGCTGTTATGCATCCTCCATTCCACGTTCGGCCACCAGGATTTCACGTGCAGACAGGGCTTCCTGGAGCCTAGAGGCAAATAATTGTACTTGCCATCCAGAGTGCCGGTTGCTCGCGGAGTTGATTGACTTTCGAATTTCGGGGGCTTCTCCGGCGAATCGTTTACCACTAAAACCGAGAAAATAAATATTCTCTTGTCGCACGTTTGATGCTAAATGTGGCCTTCTAATTTTTTTTATTTAACTTTGATGTTGACAGAATATGTCACAGTAAATACAACGTGATTGCAAGCAATGATGATAAACTTTAAGAAATGTTATTTCCCATATCTAAAGAAAATATCTTGGAAAATATAAAATTAAATAGTATCTTTCCAGCACTCTATTAAATTGAAAAGAAATATCGTACTACGTGTAGTGATAAACCTCCTATTTTAAAATGGTCATCTTGAGACGCCGTCTTCGCGTCTACAAGTTTATTTCTGTCGCGGAAACCATCTTATAAAAATCGTAATCGAATCGTAATCGTAACGTTGAATAAAAGGAAACTACGTTATATGCTACACATTTGAAACGAAGTGTCTCAAACCGTGCGTTTCCGTTTCTATCCACGGCCACATTTAGCACGGAAAGGTCTTCTAGTATATGCGCGAGGAGAATAAAAGTCTCTATGGAGCACCTGATTGCCCATCGTTATTGTTCGCCGCGCATTGGCTCCGCGAAAATTGCCGATTGCCCGCGTTTCCCAGACTCAATTCGAAGCTGATCAATTTCGATCCGAATCGAGAACGGTCGATCATACACACGTCATACAGTACGCCGACCAGAAGGTATTCCTCGGTTGACCACAAGCTTTTCTAGATTTCAGTTTAATTCTTTTTTTTTTGTGATGTCAAAAACAGTAAAACTATGTTTGGGATCAAAAAGTCATTAATTTCAACTATTTGTGTTATTTTTTTGACTTTCCTAATTTTTCGGAAAAAATTTAATAACATTTTTTAATGAAAAAAGCATTTATTAAGAATATATTATTTTTTAAGTGTTATCGAAATTATTCTATAAGCTTCAAAACCGTATTATGTACGTCATCAGAATTATGAAACTCGCTTGAATTGCTAAAGTCATAAAATAAATTAAGATCTAATTAGATTTAATACAATTATCGAAATTATTAGAAACGTTTCGAGACGCCATGCTAAAGTGGCAAATTGGTTTTTCTCTAACACAAGTTAGTTTTAATCGTGAAGGAAACAATAACCGCGGAAATAAAGCATCTGTAGCAAATCTAATCACTTCGATAATGGGAAATGCCGGTGCTGTCTCGACTTCGATTCCGGGGGATGCTTCTGGGTCATCCATTTCAGTTTTCAGCGACAGAAGTACCCTACCGCGATACAAAGGCATCGGCGTCAAGCATTTGCTGGCGCAGCCGTTCCTTTCCACCGAGTCGGATCCGTAAAAGTGGATGAAAGACGGCCCGTAAGTCGGCAGGAATCCTGTTAAAAGGCTAAATGCTATCTTTCGCGCTGCCTCTTGCAATTTCCCACGTCGCACATCACGCTCTTACATTATTACTTTCCGACTTTACTCGATCTTTGGTATATGCATTTCAGCTTGCATTACGTCGATTCGAAGGAGTAAGATAGTGTTCAACTTATACATAAATTTCCATTTTTATTATAAATAATGTAAAAATTATACTAGTCACGTTCTCCCTCGAAACTTATTGTCAGACTCAATTTGCGAATATTTGAATAAAGATAAAAAATTTATTGCGAGTTGCAAAAAATATTGAGAACAATCAGAGTTGCGCGAAGACATTTGTGTCGAATTTATTTCATCTGGAATCAAATTATGCGTTCGCTGAAATAAAGCGCGGCAAGCAGGATATTTTGTATTCTTGCCAAGAGGAGAGATTCGGTAATCTCACCATATTCTCCAGAATTCGAGACCTTCGTCATGTCTAGAATATAAACTGCCACGATGCAAGTCCGGCAACTGTCGATACGGTGTTTTATGGTGATTCTCACACGCCGGCAGAGAGCGGGGAAGATTTCCTTGAAAATGATGCCCTCGTGGAACCTCGGGGAGTACGTTTGCCATATTTCACTTGTCGATCCCTTGAAGCATTATATTCTGTAACTGTTTCGTTCGATTCTACAAGATAATCCGTTTTGAATAAATACTTTTCAATGATAGCAACAAGACAATTATCATCTGTAACATTATATACGTATGTATGTATCATGCAAGTTAAAAGCTTGTAGCTTTTAACATTTTTCTATATATAAAATAAACAAAATATTTCTAGAGCTTTTTACTATAACATTTGCGAAATTAATAGTTAATGAAAAAAAGCAATTTTTACTTATTCTTCTCTCTTTTCAATCAATAGTCAACTGTAATCGATTATAAACATCACAGGAACTTTGACATACTTTTATTCCGGCGAAAGATATTTGCACGTAGGGATTAATATTCTCAAAATCGTTTTTTCTGCACAAGTTACTCATATCCGGTAATCCATCGGCGCGATAAACGATGAAAATGTATCGAGCGCGTTGTCTGAAAGGCAGATTCTCACCTCCGATAGGCAACAATAGATTGCTACATTTCAAATAAATACATTTCACACGTTTAATACATTATTATCAGAGTTGAATATAATATCTAAATAAATTCTTGTTAAAATAAAAAATCAATTAAACTCATTCAAATTTAATTACAATTACTTTCAGAACAAAAACAAAGAATAATTATAGTATAAGATTCTAAACCAATTAGTGTAAATTACAAATATATTAATATCATATCAATTGTAAATATTAAAAGAGAAAAGTACCCTTCAATATCATCTTCACCTTCTGTTTCTGGATGCACTTTCACTCGCTCATCCTTTGTATTTACTATGACATTACATTTCACGTAACCTTTCGGACCCGCCGTCAGATCCGTTGGGTCAGTCAGCACGGCCCATTTATGATAATATTGCCGATCTATAAGTATTAATGCTATTTGTAAAAAAGTTTTTTGCAAAAATTAAAAAAAAAATTTTTTTCAAATCTTTGAAGCGACATTATTTTAAATATCTAATTATTTTTAATTTTTCTTGCAAACAAAACTTGTTATTGTTTCTCAAATATATGTATTTTTTAATTTATAAATTATTTAAATTTTTATTTTCATAAGAATCTAAGTTATCTTTTTTTTAATGGTAAATGAAATATTCTATAAAAAGCTTTAAAGTATGTTGTTTCTTTTATTTTATTTCCATATCTTTTTTAATAACCTGGCTGTTCCCACACTGTTGCGACCTCAAAGGAGACGCTTCCGTGGAATTTTAGTCGCCGAAGAAAGTTTCGTAGATATACCGCTATTGTGATGCCTGTGCTTAGCAGACTGTCCAGGTTGCACACAAAGTCAAATACGAAGTACTGCGCATTTCAAAGAGCAAAAGATAAATGTGCAAATTTAGAGATAAAATGTCGCTATCAAACATGCTAAAATAAAAATTTACATTTCGAAGAACATTTCGAAAGAACTCAAAATTCAGAATCTGTAATCTTGAGATTCCAAAGTTTTCGTATTGAAGGATTTATATTTCTAAAATACCGAAGAACTTTTCGATCTATCAAAGTTTTGAATGATATGTAGTTTAGCTGTAGTTAGCACGCGGTAATAAAAGTTTCAAAATTTATAATTTACGAATGACCAAAGTCTGCAATTATGCAAGCATTTAAAATTAGAAAAAGCAAGTTATTGTACCACATTGACGATATATTGATTAGAAAAATTCAAAGAACCCGAAGAATCAAAGAATATCAAAGATCTAATCATTCAAGAATGTGTACGCAAAATGCGAGTAATGTTTTTTATTTTCCGTTTTTTACTCAAATTTATTAATTAAATTTTTAAATAACTAATTTTTTTAATAGCTCTAGATTTTGTAGCAAAGAGTTATTATGTCCGAATGTCCAGTGTAGGGCACTAATGACGTCGCGTGATAGAATGATTTGCATATTCCAGCCATTATAATTGCGAGTCAGCCCAAACACGATTTTGACAGACTGGATAACTTCACTTCGTTGTAAACAGGATTATCGGTCCTCTCACGCATCATTGTCCTTCTCTTGCGATTGCCGACTTTGACGACGACCAGCGGATTCGCATTTTGCGGCAAATGCTTTGCCTCAAGTATAGTTACGCAAACTTGGTAAACGGAGAACTTCGGCCTGAATTTCTTGAAAGGCATTGCGGCCACAAAATCGATCGCTGATATTGGCCGCACGCCAGGTGTTATTTGCATTTGTTTAACTCGCCATTTGTTTGTTTCAGGACGTAACTCGAAACTTCGCATGCGAGGGTCCAAAATTTATACACCGCCGACACAATACAAGGCGACGGACAAAATACGAGTGCAATTCCAGTGTTCTTCGACAAAGTTTTTCATCTGTGAACTTTTCTATCTTTCTTTACGCCTTTTCGTAAAGGTTTTTTTTAAAAGCATTTTCTTTCGTACGTTCTATCTTCTTCTTGCTTTTAATATTTATTAAAAACAACATTGTCGTTTTAATACAATTAATTAAAGAAATATAAAGATACCGCAATCCAATTTATATCAAATTGTAAATAAACAAATACATTCGTTACTTCAAGAGATTTTAATACATAAAAATATGCAAATAATGAAAAGAGAGAAATCTAGATTTCGAGATTCCTAACAAGGATAGCGTAGGCAACGATACATACGTTTCATCTAACATATTCATGGCTCAATCTCTCTCTTTTCTTCTTCTTTTACTAAAGTACATAATTTTTATATTTTTCCAGAGTTAAATATTATATAAACGGCTAAAATCATTATTATAGCTTAAATATTATATAAGCTGCAGCAAAACAACACTCAGTTTATGTTTCAAAATGTACGCATCAAAAATATAAAGTTCAAAATACAATAACAAGTAGTTTACGCAGTATATTCTAGTCGATTAATTTAATAAAAAAGTGCATTTGTAATAAAATGCATTTGCGCAAATTTTTCGCAGTTTATTCTTCTTTATTTATTAATAACAAAATACTTGGAATTCAATTTTATTGTATACAACTAAATCTGTACACGGAATATATTTTTAAATCAGAATTTTTATATATATAGCACAGACATGTATCAAATAGCAGCATCGAAAATAGATGTAGCTATGTAATTTTAACTTTCTGATTGCAGAGAGTAGTACCAAGCAGGAATCTGTAAGCATTTTTAAAAATATCACTTTTCTCTGACGGTACTGAACAGAGTCGGTAAGCACTCCGTGTAAAACAGCGGGACAAATCGACTCTCTTTTGAGCTACTTTTTTAAAATAAAATGTTCTTTTTATTGTAGAATTGTATTGTAGGATTTATTGTGCAAATTGCAAATGATATTTATTCGAGTAATTTTAAGAATATTGCTTCTGATCGATAAAATAGATGACTCTGGAATCTCTTCAAGGTATATTGACGCCAATAAGTAAGTTATCGACGTCGAAAAACATACAGTTTATAAAACTGAACTTTAGATGACATTACTAGGATGAAATGGTTTCCTTTGATTTTCTTTTTAAATACGATATGATTTCAATTAAATTAATGATTAAAACACATTTAAAATTAGAAATTTTTATAAGTGAAAAAATCTTTTTCGCCAAGTAGTAATTTTATAACATCGATAACTAATGCTCAAAAATTTCAGATGATGAAGCAGTTCGAACAGTTTAAATAATCTTATAATATTTATCGCAATCGCGATTTGAAATGTATTATAATAAAAGTACGCAGCAATTTCTTCCGCTGTTGTCTATCCTGCTTAAATTTCATCGTGCGAACGATAGCAAGATGATAGCAAAATGATAAGCATGCGTGTGACATAACGAGAATCATAAAAAATTAAAACAACTACTAACTTGCGCGTTAAAATATGTCGATACTCGCAATACAATTTAAAAAAATTGTAATTAATTCAAAGTTGAATTCGAAACAGAAATTCAGCAGTGTAAAGTAATCTAATGCTTTGACAAATAAAATTTTCTTACTCTCGACATAATTTCTTATTTATATAAAAAAATTATATAAAATTAAAAAGATAAACAATTACACATAACACACGCGTGTACAACGTAACTCTATAATCTTCAAAGAGATATCCTTCGAACACGAATGTCGTCTGGCTTTGCAAACTGCCGATATTATCTTCATCGATGACGGAAACTCGACGATTTACCAAATCAACGCGTCAGTGAAAATCTTCCTGTTCTGTATACTATCTCACAGGAATCTATTGCGTCGAACGTGACGCCTCCTCGCCGTACGAACAGTGTCGAGTCATGTGATCGAATCTACTGCAATGACATTCAGTTTGGGCCTGTGCGGGACATGGGTTATTAAGCGAGACCTGTTATTAAAGTCCCTCTCGTGCCCTGCCGCGGCTGCAGTCTGCTCTCCTCTCCTTCTCAACCTTAACCCTCCCGCCCGCCCCGCCGCTCCCTTTCCCACACCCCGGAACCTTCGCCGAACCACCTTCGAATCGGAGGAGCGGCTTTGTTGATTTAAGGCGATAATACGGGGCTGCAAGAGATTTTACATGAAAAAAGAAGCGAAAGCACAAGACCGGCGCGCTTATAATTACAGATTTGCATTGTCCCGGAACCCCCTTAAACCCTCCTTAACCATCGCCGCCTGTCAGTCTCGACGCCCTCCCCTTAACTCGGAGATGGTTCTGTAACGTAAGGGCGCGAGCACCGCGCCGCAAGGTGATCGTTAACTAGCGCGCGCGCGTTCCTAACACTTAATTATTTATTCCACTACCATGCGGTAATAGCATTTTGCTACTTCTTCCTATTAGTGCATATCTTGAATATTTACTCCATATTTCTCGTTTCTGTTCTTTTATTTCTAATATTTTGAGTTACTAAATTTCATTCAATATTAAATAATTTGTTTTTTATTTATAGATTAATGGCTTTTAATTATTTGGTACAATTATTGCATATAAAGGCATTTAATTATTTATTTATATTATCGTATATATTGATAGCGTTTAATTATTTCCACAGTTACATAATATTAAAGTTCAATTATTCAGCTTCATTATTGCATGGTGATATTATTTTACGGTTTCAAAATGATACAAATTTAACCAGTTGAGAAAAAAATTAAAAGATAAAACAGATTAAAAAAGTGGAAATGGTTTCAAATTTTGCTCTTATAAGATTTATAAAATTTTTTTATTAAAGATTTTTTCTCATGCCGAAAAAAAATTACAAAAACGAATCAAGGCGCTAACGATACACCGATCTTCGAACAGCAGTGCCATTCGGTCGCAACGTCTGAATGATCATAGCGTCATCAGTCTTTCACGACTAAGCACTAACCGTTTGAGAGATTTCGCAGATACAAGAAAATCAGGCTCTGAAAAAACAGCCGTACCTGTTCCGACGGTCTCGGTTAATAGCCGAGGAACCCATAAAGACGTTTAAATCGGCCCGAGAGCGAAAGAGAAAGTGAGAGAAGAAGGATGACACCTTTTGTATCCTTCCTGCCTTCGCCCTCCCCATCTCAGTCTGTTTTTCAAAATCGCTGGCTTTAAACTTCATTTATTAATACATTTATTAAACTTCAGGAAATACGAATAAATAATGAATATAAAAATTACATAATTAAAATCATGTAAATATGTAATATATAATTTTACAAAATTATATAATTTTATCTTTTATTGTAAATTTATTTCTCAAATTATATCCATCCGATAATAATTATAATTTCTATTTGACCAGAAATTAAAAATATATCGTAAATCAAATTGAGGAAGCAACACAAGTCGGAAGATTTGCGTTGGTTCTCACACGACGAGGAGAAATATTTTAGGGTCGACAATTTTTTGATAAGTTAAGCTGTAAACTATCATGGGAATCAGTGGAGCAATTTTCGAGAACGGCACAAGCGCTTTGATCTAATCAGATTACGAAAAGACAAACTAGCATGAAAATCTTTCGCCAGTTTATCGGCGCGATCAAAGAGCTTATACGATGCACCGTTGACGTGAATCGGTGGCCGAAGTGTCATCGCTTTTCCCTGACAGCTTCACTACTACGTTCTCTTTCTGGGGAGATTCGATCCCATTATCTACCCGGTTTACCTGTCGGACGTAAAGTAGGGAGTCCTGTCCAGGAAACAGCGTCCCGATCCCGACCCCATCAATTTTAAATTCTTGAGAAGCTTTGACGAGCCTCGATCGATGCATCTACGTTGTCCTATCACTATCGTACAACTCTTTCTTTTAAAAAGTCTTCCTGTCAAATCGAAAGAGAAATTAATTATAGAAGTCCTAAGTTCTTTTTCTCTCGCATCATATTTCGAATTAAATAAAAAATATAATTTTAA